GAGAATGTATTAGTTATCTATTGCTATATTATAAATTATCACAAAATTTAGTGACCTAAAGCAGCACACAACTATTATCTTGATTCTTAGGAGTCTGAACATAGTGTGACGTTTTCTGTTCAGCTTCTTTCAAGGCAGCAGTCACTGTGCTGTCTGGGCTGTGTTCTTGTCTGAAGGCTTGACTAGGGAAGAATGAACTTCAAGCTCATTCAGTTTATTGGCAAGATTCATTGCCTTGGAACTGGAGGACTGAGGTCCCTGTTTCCTGGCCAGCTTTTGGCAGAGAACTACTCTTAGTTCCTAAAGGTCACTTATAACTCCTTCTCATGTGACCTTCTCTTCAGGTCATTTTATAACATTGGCAGATTACTTTTTCAGAGCCAGCAAGGACATAGTCTTCTCTATTGTCTTCGAAGATATAGAGTCTTACATAACATAATTATGGGAGTGACATCCCATCACATTTGCCATATAACATAATCAAGGGGCATCCTATCACGTTTGCTGTATTCTCTTGTTTAGAAGCAAATTACAGGCTCTGCCCACCTTTAACTTATTGGGGATTACTGCCAAAAAGCATTTCTCTCTTTCTAAGAGAGCACTTTTTCATTTCTGTCTTTGGGGAAAATTTCTGGTAGAATATCAGAGTGTATTTATATATGTCTGTGTCATACAGCATAATTTAGGGAACATAATTCACATAAACAAGAGTGGAAGAAATTTCTCATCTATCCAAAGGAGGTTTTGACTTTGGAATGTTGAGAAAGAAGCCATGCTAATTTTCCTTTTTAAAAGAACAACTTTTCCTAGGACATAAAGTGACTCAAGGGCTTTGGGTCTTAAAGCCTATTGACTTTAACGCAGTGGGAATAGCAGTCTTTTATTGGGAAAGAGATAGGTGACCTAGGCTGCTAGAAGCATTTTTTTTTTCATTTACAGTTCAGATTCTTTGTTGTTATTAGAGGGCACATGCTCTTGCCAGAGAGAGAGGGAAAGGGAAAAGACATCCTCCATGAGGATTAGTCATGCCACAATCCCTTCTCCTCCATCTCTCCTTCCTTTTTTGGGATTTTAGGCACACACACACACACCTGGCATGTTTCTTAAGTCCAGAACTCCAATCACTGTGGTGGGCCATAGACCCAGCCTCACATTTATATTTCACATTCTGTCATAAAAGGGAGGACCTGGTGATACTGTAGAGCAAAGCTATCCTTAGCTTAAAAAGAAGAGCATAATTTCATATTTTGCTTGCTGGCTTATTTAATCTCTCGGAAATAATTTGTTTGCCAATGTAAGATGGGCATCAGCATACTTACCACTCATAGCTACCATTTATTGAATATATAACAAGAGCTTTAGATTAGATAACCTGATTGTTTTCCAAAGTTAAGTAATATGTGACTCTTCTTGGATACTTGCTAAAAATACTGACTTCAGGGGCTGTGTGTTGGCATGCTTAAAAAAAAAAAAAATACTGACTCCAGACCTACCCCACCCTGTGACACTGAGTGAACTATTTCCAAGGAAGGTTCTTGGGATCTGTTTTGTTTTTGTTTTTGTTTTTGTTTTTGTTTTTTTAATTTGGTACAGGACATGTGTGCTTGCTGGAGACACACAGAGAGAGGGAAAGTGAGAAAGAATTCCTGGGGGTGATAGCCATACCTCAGTCCCTTCTTTGTTTTCCTCTAAAGATTTTTGGGCGTGCATACACAGGCACCCGCTGGTTTTTCTTTTTTTCTTTTCTTTTTTTTTCTTTTTTATATTTGAGAGAGATTATTGCTATCAGGTGTGCTTGACAGAGAGACAAAAAGGGAGAAATCAACCCCCCAGGGGGGGTGGCCATGCCGCAGTCCCTTCTCCTCCATTCTTCTCTCAGGATTTTTTGGACGTACATGTGCACATGCTTGGTAAGCCACCAGGTCCAGGATGCACACCATGGTCAACCACATTGAGTGTCCAGCACTTTAACCACTATGCCACCTGCTGGCCTGCCTGCTGGTATTTTTAAAAAGTGACTCAGGTGACATTTATGATCAAGTAAATTGGAGAAGTAATGTGCTCTCATTTCGTCCCTCCAATAATACTATGAAGTACCTACTGTTCTTTTTTCAGGTAACAAATGTGATACTTAAAGAAGTTCAGTTACTTGGCTAGGGTCATAGAAATAAGAGCAGAGCTGAAATTCAAGTTTTCCTTTGCCTTGTTCTATTGAGTTGTTAGAAAAATCATGACATGTTTTTTCTATGTTAAAATGCGTTGTGACTTTTCCAACAACCCAGTATTTATCCTGTTGTATTAACCAGTATGCATTGGATACATTTGTTGGAACTTTTGCAGTTAAGAAATAGGGGCCAGCACCAATGTTCTCATGAGTAATTATAACCAGTTTCCATAATGAGGCTGGAGTAAAACTTAAGAACAGAGAAAACAAATGCCTAAAATGAACAGGGAGTGGGAACCCAAGCAGCAAGGAAAACGTGGAAGGAATCCTTAGTGGAAGAAGAGAAATAGAGTGAGTAGGAATTGACAGAAGTGACACACTGCTCCCAAGTGAGGCTGAGAGGAGCCTGTGAGGAGTCAGGTGGGACTGCTGCAATTCTTCCTTCCTATTTGGTTCTTGAAACTAGAACAATATTGTCTTTTGCTACTTTTGTCAGAACTTCAGTTTATGTCCCATTTCTGATAGCAGTGTTTCACTTTTCCACCAATTTCTGGTCATCCTGGTTCTACTTGTTGCTCTTGTTTGTTTCAGTTGTTTTAATATTCATGCAAAAAACTGGAAATAGTTTCCTCCAAGGGGTAAACAGGGCCAAACAGAATTGGGCTGCACTTGTTTTGTTTCACAGTGGTAGAACTTAATGGAGTCTGTAAGGGCCATCTTAGTCTAGCCTTCCAGTGACAACCCATGTGAGCCCTCATATAAGAAAACATAACTCCATTTAAAAAGAGGAAGTCTAGATATTTACGTAACTAAACATACCAAACTTTTTTTGATATTTGTTAGTGTTCATCTTTTATGTCAGTTTCCATTTGTCTGGAATACTTAGAGGAATTGAGAATTAGATACTCACCCTAATATTACTAAGTGTTTCTGGAAACCATTATTTTATCATTTAAAACACTAGTAGTCACCTAGATTTACCTTTTTTTTTTTCTAATAAAGATTTTTGGGGGCATTATTTTAGATTTACAGAAAAGTTACAAAGATAGAATTGAGAGTTTCTGTATATCTCACATTCAATTTCATTTTCCCTAAATGTTAACATCTTACATTACTATGGTACATTTGTCAAAACCGAAAAACCAACACTGGTACATTACTAGTAAATAAGCTGCAGACTTTATTGGGATAGCACAGTTTTTTCCCATGGATGTCCCCTTTCTGTTCTGAGATCCAATCCAGGGTACTACATTACTTTAGTTGTCATCCCACCTGGTCTTCTCTGATCTGTGATAATTTCTCAGTTTTTCCCTGTTTTATATTACCCTAACAGTCTTGAAGAATACTGTCAAGTATCTTGTAGAATGTTCCTCAATCTGAGTTTGTCTGACATTTATCTCACGATGAGACTAGAATTATGGTTTGGGCGGGGGGGAGAATATAACAGAGATGAAGTGTCCTTCTCATAACATTATATTAGGAGATTTATCATTTAGTTAAGGTAACATTTATGAGATTTCTCTATCATAAAATTATTATTTTTCCCTTTCTCTATTCTATTCTTTGAAATCAAGTCATTAAGCATGGGCTACCATTAGAGGGATGATGTCACACAGGGATTGATGTTCACCTCCAGAAGGGAAGAGTTAATTAACATAAAGTATTCAGTAATACCCTGTAAGGAAGATTTTTCTCTTCTCCCTCATTAAAAACAGTTGTTAAGGGTTTCGAGGGACTGGAGATGGGAACACTCCCAGAATGTAAAAATATCCCCCCATGGGTGAAAGTTCCTGAGGAACTGAAAGATCCAGAGGTGTTCCAGGTCCAGGTGCGTCTGCTCGGAGCCATATTTGGCACAGGTGGATCTCAAATTCCTTATATTGAACAAGTAAGCAAGACCATGCTCGAGCTGAAGGCTCTGGAATTTTCGGACC